AAGAATTAGTCATATTTACAAATAAAATAGATTAAAAGCATCACTATTTTAAAATAGCAGAAACCAATTAATACTTGTTCAATTTTACTACAAAAATTATGATTATTATGCTTTATTATTGTAGTAAATTTTATTTCATTAATTAAGTGTTTATTTTAATAGGCAAATAATTAGTAATTGCACCTAAAACGTTGATATGAATTTTTTTTTCTCTGACCTAACAATTTTTGAAATTATTAAAAATTAAAAATTTATATCAAATATATAAAATAATACATTTTTTTAATAGAAATAATTTTAATTTGTAAATCAATCAATTTTTTTATTATATTAAAATAAAAGTTGAAATGCTTTTTGTTTGAAAATCAATAACTTTAAATAGTTTTAAATAAATGTCGATAACTTACAATTATTTATAAACGTTTTTAAATTATATATTTACTTCAAGTTACTAGTATAAAATTTTAAAACATTCCATAAATGGTAATAATAGATCAATTAATTACATTATACACTATTTTTTCAACAAAATATTATTCCTAATAACAAATTACTGTTTTATTTTATTATATTCAAATAAATTAAAAATAAAATAAATGTTCTATTGTATCTTTTAATTTGTGTCTGTTAAATTAGTATAATATACTAATCATTATAAAAAACTAAGTTTTGTATAAAGCACATTTAAAAATATTCAATAACCTTGTTTTACTTTCCTTTTAAGAAGAAATTTATAAAGGCAAAATAAATGTTACATCAAATATTTAAATTACTTATTAATTTAATGTTCATAAAAATCACTCAAGTCATAACATCGTTATGGCATAGAAAACTCTATTTATGGAATTATTTTTTAATCAACAATAATACAATATTAATATTTGAAGTAAAAATTAATTTTATATTTATAAGAAAATTTAAAGAATTACTGATTGCTTTTTAGCTACTTCTTGTCAAATGAAAAATATTTATAAATACATTTTATATTAATAATATTTCTAAAAAAATATAAAATTAAGAATATTAAATATATTCTCTGCTAATGTGTCAGTAGTCAAATGTGTTTAAGATAATTGAATTTCTATTTAAAAATACACCAGTACTATTTATCATAGATACAGTATAATGTTTATAACTTAGTAGATTAACATTCACCAAGAGTCACTAATTTATTTTTAAACAAGTAATTTAATATTATCTGGTCTTCTTAATTGAAGAGTATTTTTAATACTCTAGCTAGAGTGCAACTAGTCTCATTTACTTACCCTGTTCAGGTACTAAAATAATATATATCATATTAATAATTAGAAACATTTAAAAAATTAATTGATTCTACCTTGCCCAGTTATATCAAAACTTTGAGTAGCTTGTGGACTCCAGCTTGCATTATTAGCAACTGATTCACCATCTTCAGTAACTGTAATTAGCATTAAAAGATTTTGATAAAAGATTTTTCTAAAAATTTAATGGATAACAAAAATTACTCATTTCACTCCAAGTAGCAATAGTTGCATGTGTTGTTTTTGGACTTATACTGTGTCCTAATGGAATTGATCCTTTATGCAATACTCTACAAAATATTAAAAAACATTAAGTTACGATTATATGTACTGGATAATTCAAATAATAGAATTTACTTTTTTTTTGTAGTCCACAAAACGTAATCTTCTCTTTTAAAGTGTTCAGAACATATTCTAAAGCTTTTAGAAACCTGGCTAGAACCGTGGTTTTTAAATTTCTGTATGACTTTGTCATTTTGGCATAATTCAACCCATTGTTTACACCTATTTTCAGTATATTTGAAAAGCATTTTAAACAACTAAGAAACTTAGAAAACTAAATAATCTTACAAAAAGGCCTTAAATTCATAATTGTACTTACAAACTTTCATTTGTTGGGAACTTGTGAAACGAGAGATTTTGAGTACTTCTACTAGAATTGGTACATTTGTTAAAACAGCAATTCATGTGAGACGGCATTGCACAAGTAGTGCTGTGCACTTTTTGCAATTCACTTATGTAGAAAATTTCAAAAATAATAATAAGCCTCTACAGAAAGTTCTAAAATTGAATAATTTTTTAAAATTAAAACGATGTTATGTCTGATAACGCGTTTTGTGATAACGATGATATTGGC